TTTTTATAGAAAGTTGGGAATACCTTACCATCTGTAATTTAATAAGCACAGTATTTTGGTACACATTACCTTTGATCTGAATTCATATACACATGCATGCACACACAAATGTACATATATAAAATTAGAATTTTATATTTAATTTTATTTTTATTTTGTAGATTATTAGAATGTTTTTGAAGAATGCATAGTGTTCTGTTCTGTAATTACTGTAATTTATTATCTACCTATAATAATTGATAAATGTAATTATCAGATTGAGCTCAAGAAGCTAGTTAGCAGTGTGAATGATTGATAAGGCCTTGCCATTGAGTTCTCACTATTTACTGAATCTGCTTTTTCCCCCTGCTTATATGGAACACTATGTTTGAGACATTATGTGATGCAAAGGAAATTAAAAAAAAAATATCATTTTGAAATATTTTGTTGAAGTAATTGGTTTTTTTTTGAGAAATTGGGGATTGAACTCAGGCCCTTGTGCTTGCCGGGGAAGCACTTATTCTACTGAGCCATCTCCCTGGCCCCTTTGTTGAAGTAATTGTTGACAGTTTGTCAAATGACATACAGACAACACTAATCCAGAAGATAAATCAAAATGTTATTTATTTCAGATATGAATTCATAAACGTTGATTATGGTTCTCAGAAGATTGTCTAGAATCCTTGAAGAAAAATACGTGGAAGACATTAGTTAATTGGAAAAGAAGTTCCAAACCAACTGGGAGTGAAGTGATAAATGAATAACTTGAAGCATACAGGACATCATGGAAACAGAAGTTTGAAACGGGTGACAACAAGAAGGTATAATTAAGTTCAGTCTAAAAAATGTATTGCAAATAATACGTTGTCCATTCACAGAGAAATGTTTATATATTAAAACTTGCCTTTAGCTTTTAATTCTATGTTAAATGATACCATAAAAATTATGAACCTGTTGAAATTTAAGCACCAGTAATACCTTCTTTTCGACTTAGGTGAAGAAATGCTAGCTGTTTTTTTTTTTTTTTTTAATGTGTTGATACTTCAAAGGAAGTTTTAAACTAAAAGGAAAATTTTAAATTATTCCTTGTGAATATTTCTTACATTGTAGGTTTGTTGAAGTATGGTTACTGGCTCTAAAATATGGCATCAATTATTCATTTTTCTTGTGCAAAAGGTTCATTTTTCTTGGAAATGTGGTGCTATAATTTTAACTAAACTCAGAAATTTTAAATCTTTAAATATTTATTGCCTACCCTCTTTTACTTTGAGAATTCTAATTATATGAATGTAATTTTTTTGATTTTTGGCGCAGAGAGAACTATTATATGAATGATCTGTAATGTCTTCTTTATGTTTATTTTAGACAGTTTTTATTGGTATATTCATTTAAGCTTGTAAATTTTTTTTACAATTTGAAATCTATTATTATTTTTTTTTCAAGCATTTCATTAGTTTAATTTTATATTTAACTCATACAGAAAAGAATAGTAATGAAGAGAACAGGGGAGTATTTGCTTTAGTTCTTTTACTTGTCTATCTTTTTTTTTGCATAAATTTATCAAGAAACAAATAGCAATGAGACAGTTTCAAACCAAACTAGTAGGACAGTATCAATAATTAACATATTGTATACATTCTTCCTAGTGGTTAATTGCTATACAAGATGCAGACATGATATCCTACTTACAAACACCATTAGAACAAATCCCTCTATTCATTAAGAGAATGTAACTGTATATTGCTTCTACCCATTTGAATACACAGATACAAAATGGACATTCATCTGCATCCCCTTTTTGTTGTTAATTTCCGTT